CTTCAGTTCACAACAAACAAACAAATCACAGTGTTTCATGTTGAATACAATTCTAAAGCTCACTGTGGAATTTCTCAGTTTGTTTGTGCAGATATCGGTACACGGCTAGCAGAATCCACCATCATCCAAAAGCACATGATCGCAACGCTGCCGGGGGTAAGACTTAAGCCGTTGTGCATTTGTATCTTATTAAAATCGGCCTCATAAAACAGCAGGAAACAAAGATAGACCCCACTGTGATTCCTCCTAAAGGATAAACTGTTTTTGTTCCCGACAGTGCACAACAGCAGCCATGGAATGCATGAGACAATACATAAGTGAGCTCCTGGACTTCATTGCTGATATGCACACGCTAACCAAACTTAAAGTAAGTCTTATTCTTCATGTGACCGCCACAACTTGCATAGTATCTTATTTTTTATATCTAGTTTTTTTTTCCATATGTTTGCCTTATTTCTTTCCTCACACCAAATCTGTTATTCAGAGCCATATGAAGGCTTGCTGTCAGCCGCTGCATGAGGACACTTTCGGGGGGAACCTGAAAGTGGGCTTGGCACAAGTCGCAGCCATGGAAATCAGCAAAGGCAATCACCGTGATAACAAAGCTGTAGTCCGCTATCTTCCCTGGCTTTATCATCCACCATCCACCATGCAACAAGGGTAAGAATGACAAAACTACAAACGAGTTTAGTAATGATTCAATGACTTACAGGGTCAGTTTACCCAGAAAAACAGAAACATATAATGTATAATCCTGAGGAGTATGAGAATAAAGTAAATATTATATTATAGGCTGTTGTAAAACTAAATTTCAATGTTTTTTTTTCTCTGCAGGCCAAAAGAATTCATCGAGTGTGTGTCCCACATCCGTCAGCTGTCCTGGCTACTTTTGGGCTCCCTGACACACTGTGCCCTGCACCAGGGCTCCACCTCCTGTATGCCCATCCCCCTGGATGCTGGCTCCCACATCGCAGATCATCTCATAGTCATCCTCATTGGTTTTCCAGAACAGTCAAAGGTCTGGCAGAAACAAATCCCTTTAAATGACCCCACCCAGGTTTTGTTAATCTGATCTATAACCACCTCACTGGCCTTCTGTTTTGGTCTTGATCTCTGTCCCCAGACGTCGGTGCTGCACATGTGCTCTCTGTTCCACGCCTTCATGTTTGCCCAGCTGTGGACCATCTACTGCGAGCAGGCAGCCGCTGCTCCGTCCCTGCTAAACCAGAACCAGACAGAGTTTTCCTCCAGCGCCATCCTCACTGGCCTGGAGTTCTGGAGTCGAGTTACACCCAGCATCCTGCAGCTCATGGCCCACAATAAAGTGGTGAGTGCTCTGCCTTATCCTTTTCCACTTGGGATCTATTTAAGATAGCTGAAGTAGGAATAGGGGCTTTGAAATGTGGTGTGCTTGTTCATATGTGAAATATGAAGAGAGGAGTTCATTTTCAACTCTTGGATTAATTCCTTTTTTATTTATGATAACTGTGTTAGAGAAAATCAGTTGATATTTTCTTCTCTCAGATGGTAGAGATGGTGTGTCTTCATGTCATTAGTTTGATGGAAGCCCTGCAAGAGTGCAACTCAACCATCTTTGTCAAGGTTTGTGTAACTCAACATGGTTAATACATGATTACCTTAGCATGTAGCATAATACTTATCCATCCCCATTTTTTCCTATAGCTAATCCCGATGTGGCTACCCATGATTCAATCAAACCTGAAGGTAAGGCTTTTAAAACACTTTGCTCCATTATTGATACAGATTATAAATATACAAGTAACTATAGACTATTTTCCCCTTCTCCTGTCTTTGCTTCATCAGCATCTGTCTGCGGGGCTGCAGTTGCGTCTCCAGGCCATCCAGAACCGTGTGAACCACCAGTGTCTGCAGGGCCAGACATCCGGAGCCCCTCCGTTTGCTCTGCGCAAATGGCTGCAGTGCACCCAGTTCAAGATGGCTCAGGTGGAGATCCAGTCGTCTGAGGCTGCCTCACAGTTCTACCCCATGTGACCTGCTCTGTGGTCACCTCAGATCCAGTCTGGGTCCTTAGACCTGCATGCATCATCTCTGGCTGAACCCTCCAACCAAAAAAAGGACTCTTAAATAAAACTGATGCTGTGTGGGATTCATTTGGACTGAATCATTTTCAGCACCTTTAGTATAATACCTGTACATGTACAGTAAATCTATGCTATTTTAAAGTACTAGCGCTGGAGCTGATAATTAAAGGTTTGGCAGGCTTGTATGGGATAATTGTATCAGGTGCCTAACTGTTGTATTCAACAGACTTGAAGAGTCAGTAGATGACTAAGAATTTCTATAGAGCCTTGTTAGTAATAGTGAGAGTCTGAAAGCAAATGCTTGTTGAATCTTCAATATCCTCACCCTGTGACATTCATATTCTATCACTTTTTAAGTTGCTTGGTTGCAAGCTGGATAATAAAAGTACGAGTTTTTCTAAACGTTGAGACACTTTGTCATTTCATATGAATTGCCGACCCCTTCAAAATTCAAATGTGACATTTACTGCCTTTTGATGTCCTGACTGATGTGGAAAATGTCCAGTTTACCATAATGCAGATGGCAGAGTGATAAAATCAGCTCTGTTGTTTACTCTTCTGGACGAGAAACCGAACCTCAGGTGTCTCCGGGAAAATGACATGACATGCATTAGTCAGCTCCCGTCTGAGATCCTTGTCAGACTGTCAGTCATGCTGCCTCTCGCCATCAGAGCTCAGATCGATCAGAGGGCCAATCTGAGTTGCAGCAGCAGCTTTGTAACTCGATAAGGTGGAGCCAGACATTGGAGGTAAACAAGACTATTTTGGTTGTGCCCCCCCTCCCCGCCCCAAAGTGGAAAGCACCCTCTTTACTTCTCCATCCCCCTCTTCATTGGCAGCACCGAAACAGATTGGACCACGCATATACCAAGCAAACACAATTACCTTTGGCCTAATGTGGTTTGTTGTGATTAAGCATTGTTGTGAGGTCTAACCGCATTACCACGAAGCTCTTGTCTGAGAATAACAGATGACATGACAGCAGGGCTAGAAAGCCGAACAGCACATTAATCTTTGTTTTGATCTTCACTGCTGCAAGGATTTCATTATCAAGCCTTAAGATGAATTAGATCTGATTATATAAATGTATTCTGCAAGAAGAAATTGGTTTATTGGACAAAAAAAAGCCAAAATTTGATTTGCATGTATTTTAAAAAAAAATTGCTTTTTAGTCGCTGCAAGTATAAGAGGACCCATGTTGAGAGGTGTGTGCCAAATGAGTCACTAGTATAATGATATCACACAATGTGACTAATGAACGCACACACTCGCACAGACACACAGACACAGACACACACACACACACTCCCCGGTGACCCCAAGCTAGCTGAATCAGGCTGCAGTGCCCCTTCTCATCAACCTCTAGTCTTGGCTCATCAAAGAGCACCTCTCCTGCTGTGTTCGTCTGTGTGTTAGTGTGTACTAAAGTGATGATGGATGCAGGTGTGTGTGTGTATGTGTCCCAGCATGAGCATAGGTGTGCGTGTGTGTGTGTATGTGTGTTTAATCAAGTCCCCCTTGCTCTGGGGTTGCATCTGTCAGCCACTGCCACCGTTGTGATCGTTTGAACTCGCAGCCCTTTTCGAAAGAACCTCTCTCATTAGCAGCAGCTTATATAATCAGTGTCCCACAGGTATCCAGCACTTTCCCCGCCCCTGCCTGCCTGCCTGCTTCTTCCTGGAGGACCATATGGGAGTGCTGACCTGATGAGCAGGCAGCTGGAGGTACTGTGGGTAATTAACGCTGACCAAAGGCCTCTCAGGCAGAGAGGGTGTGAGTGGGTCCTCAAAGATTGTGAAGGTCAGCTTTGAAAGGACTGCACGCTCTCATACACACACACACACACAGATATTGTAGTCATGCGCCAGCACGGTGCATCACCAGGTGCGTGCATTGGTGACATTCCTTGATTAAACAGAGAGTTGAGAGAGGTAGTCTCACACAGGCTGCAGCATATCAAAAAATATCCAGTAGTTTTGCACAGAAACAATTTCAAAACCCCAAATGTTGAAGAGTCTGTGTACCAGCATCCCTTTGCTTAATGGAAATACCTCCTGAGAGCCTCGTAAAGCTTGTTGAGACAGTGACAATCTCTGGTCCCCTCTCCTACTGCTGTCACATTGCTTTTATTACAGTGAAATCCACAGCGCCCTGGCTGGACAATGCATGAATGTTTAAATTGCTCAGAGTGTCCATTGGCATTACCATCAAGTGGCATATCTAAAGCAGGGAAGGCAAAGTACTCTATGGTCCCTCATTCATGTTGTAATTCATTGACATTCCTCTTCAGTGACCCCCTGCATCAGCCTGTATAGTACAGGTTTGTCCCCCTTGTTTCTTTCACATCATTAACTACAGTAAATGTATAATGTGCAAATTAAGAAAGAAATGTCTACATGATTTAATGTAAGAATGTAACCTCTTTCAGAAGGGTGTTTTGAATCTATTACCTCCTTTTAGTTTCCAACAAAAGAATCCTAATTTTGTTATAGCAACTTGTGTTCTTGCTTCAGTAGCAGAATTCCCTCACACACATCCATGATTTCTTTTGTCACATTATTATTGATGAGCCCAGAGCCAGCACAATATGTAATCTATAAGTTTTCTTTCTTGCGTCATTAAGCCCCCTGGAGTTGAATGTGCTTGATAATCGCAGTTCATTAAATATGCACTGTGTGAGACAGACTGAGAACATGTCCTCCACGGTGGGGGGCCCAGGAGACACGGCCGGCACAGCTCTGCCCAAGACACGGACGGCACAACACAGCACAGTGCAGACAGGATGGGCACAGGCTAAATATAACAGTCTCATTTTCATTGCTTTTGTGTTTGTCTGCCAAAGTGTAACAACAGATTTCTGCACATATATCTCTTTAAACACAATAGACTGTGGTTCTGTTGTTATGTACAGTTTTATTTACAACTGAAAAACTCAGCAATGAAATCAACTTATGCACATCTTTCTATCTGTTTGGTATAATGCATAAATTGTGTATGTACTATTGATTGCCATATATACATTAATGGCTTGCTCCATCAACATGACGACATTGACATAATTCTAAATGGTAGCACATTGTTTAAGTTTTACTATGTATAAACATATGTTCTGTTACACTGTACATTAATTAACAGTCCAGAAGGCAGATATTTAAATATCAATATTTACATTCATGCATCCATCAGTTCTCTCATATAAGTACATGGTGGGGTATACTGTTAGCTAATAACCTGTGCATGTTTAGATGCAAGCATGTGTTTTTCCAAATTTCCACAGTTTAGCCAATATCTATACTTAACTGACAGCCACAGAGTACAGCCCACTCTCACTGAGTACACTCATCTGCATGCACACTCACAGACAGACAGACAAACACACACTCACACACATGCACGCACAGACACACGCAGATTTAATGTAAAAAATAAAAATAAAAATAAAAAAGCAGCAGAGCAGAGCAGCGTTGAGTGATGCTCCAGTTCAGCTCAGTTGTGTTTTTCCAGTGGGGATGTGGAGGATGCCTGTGACAGCACTGAGTCACACACATCCCTGCTGAGGCCATCCTCCGTGCAACCTGATCTCTGGCTATTGGCTAAGTCTCCTGTCTCTCACCAGTCACAAGGTCAGCCCTGGGCTCATGTCCCCTGTTTCTATAGCGATGGGCTAAGCCCGTCTTGACAGATAGAAAAATGAAGATTGTCAAATCCAAACAAAACACGGCTGAAGGCATCTAGCTGACCCCGAGACTCTGAAACAACAAGATTTAACCAAATTACTTGTAATATCAGGTTTAACTTTAGGGTGGCATGGGCATTGAATTAACAAATCTAAAATGGGGGCTGGCATATGATGCAGCACAGAAATAATGTTTGGAAAACACACATTCACATAGCACATCATAGAGACCCCTGGATTTTTAGCCAAAGTCTCAGGGAAACAGAGAAAAGCATATCAAACATCCAGAGACAAAACAACTGATACCAAAACTCTTTGCAGTGAAGCGTGTTTTCTGCATCAGTGTCTCAACAAACTGACAGCAGGCTTAAAGCATTGGAGCATCACAAATGAATTATATGGTTTATAAATAATTCACTTAAAAAACAGAGCTATCAAGAAATAAAATGAATTCATCAAGATGTTCAGGAGTTGAAAAGATGTGAGTAACTTACAAGACAGTTTTTTTTCTTTTAAGTAGAAAAATAAATTCAAAGATAGATAAGTAAATAAATAGAGGAAATAAATTGATGAATGACTGAAGTATATTACATTGAGCCTAAGTCTTCGGTGGCATTTTTGGCATGGTAAAATAACCAGAACGTCCCCTGTTGATGTTGTTGCTCTCCTCTCTTTTTTATATATGGATTTCTTTAAATTGCATAGTCAGATGAATCCACATCTCAGAGCCAGGACCGATAGTAACATCATGCCTCTCACAAAGTATCTGTCTCAAAAATGGAGAACAAAAGATGGACAGTGTGTAATTAGAATATAAAAAAATGTTGCATTCTCTGTAAAAACTGCATGCACGTTATTTATTGTGTGTGATGGGGCTGTCCTGTCTGGCCACCCATGGGACTGCAGGGCTGCTGTATTGTCTGTTGTTCCATTGCAGATGTCAACAGTGTGTGAGGTCTGGATCTGCCGCAGACTGGCAGACAGTCCCTCTCCAGCCAGCAGCCAACCAGCCTGTCAGCAACACTTGCTGTTACTAAGAGCCTAATGTTCAGCCTGCTGTGCCACTTTCAACACCATGGGGGTTTGTGGATTTTTCTCTCCGTCCTTCCTGCTTTGATTTTTTTTCCTTCCATCTTTTACAGCTCCTCTGGAGCTGAATGGTGTCTTCAGTCTGGGCAACATGCCAAGCAAAGAGGAAAGGTTTACCTATATGAAAATCTTGGGTAAAACCCAGTTGCATTCTGGGTGAGAAGGGATTGTTGTTGTATCGGGGGGGGGGAAAGGTGTGAGACGGTAATTGTGATGTCACTTCCTGTGTCTACCAGGAGACAGTCTATACCACAGTGTTGTTCGTACCCATGGCCTTCTTGTTACGGATGCTCATGGCATATTCCCCACGACTTGTCCCGTTCTCTTCTTTTCGTAGTGGTTTCCTGCGAATAAACATTTTCATAAAGTGAGGACAAATTCCTTGACAAGAGAGATGTAACGTTAGCTAAAGGCCATGTCATTAAACAGAGTTTCTAGACTGTTAACCTTTAGGCTGATTTGATTTCACGGGCTGCTCTGGGTGGATACGCTGGTCTCAGCGATCCTTTCTAATAATCTCAATGTTCAAAGGTCACTTTTGCAAGGAGACAGGAGGCAAAGATACATTGCAACACAGGGGATAAGGCAATTACCTTCTCTGACTGGTGGATGCAATCTTCCCTCTAAGTAATGAGTATGTGCGTGGCTGTCAAAACAACTTGGGAATAACATCGATACATAACCTCCTGTGAACTTCTCCTTCAACACTGGTTGCACGGTAATACTCAGTGATTTCTAGAACTACATTCTGGTGCAAAATAAGCTGCAACACATGATCCCCTTGCTGCTAGTGGCCTGTGAAGAGCAGTATCATTCAATACAGCCCTTTTCATGCACTCCTCTGTGCCTTTGTGGTTATTATATTTGTCCAGTGTACTGTGGCTTCTGCACCGACCCCCTCAGCTGCTCTCCCCTGCTTGGGCTTATGTAACTTAGAGACAGATCTGAATACAGTTAGTACAGTCATTGTCCCACTCAACACTGTACAGTGCCTTCATTGCCACAGAGGACCCTTGAGCGACATCTTAGCTCAGTGTCACTCTCCTCTGAAAGCCCTAGCTGGTCAGTCCAACTTTGATGAAGAGTCATTCCCAGTCCAGTCCAGCACAATCTGTTTCCCTTGCACAGGGGAAATCCTTACAGGGTGAATTGATCATATGTACATGACATAATGCAATCAAATGCAAAAGTCCTGCAAAAAAACTAACTAAACTTTGGTAAGTTTAAAATGTTTTGTTTTGTTGAGACTGAGTCATAGGTGAGGATAAACATTTTAATTATCTTTTTAAAGAGGCTATGTAACTTTTGAAAAGAAGAAATACCACAATATTTTTTATCACAAACAAAAAATGTAACACTGCTAACTTTGGGTAGATGTTTCAGTGTCAGAGTTAGTTAACTAACAATAGACTGTATAATTAATAATGGACGTAGTCTCTGCGATGTCGCCCATAGGTTTCTCAAGAGATGTCGTGAAGTTCAGCGTAGTTGGCTCTGGTCGTCGCCATCTTGGCAGTCCTGACTCCACTGGCTCCCGGCTAATCCAAAAAAATTGCATATACGTGGAGCTGAGGCAGGTTGAATGGAGCCTAATTACTTAATCATGTATAGCTTTAAGCCTTAATATGATTTAAATCTGTGGGTTTTATAAAAATTCATCAATTCATTTTTGTTTTTGTATCAGGCTGTAAACATCTTTATTTCTGCTGTAAAGTTTGGCATTTTAAAATGGGACCTTATGGAGACTGACTCACTTCTGTAGCCAGCCTCAAGTGGTCGTTTGAGGAACTGCAGTTTTTGTTCAGCAAAAATACATTGACCAGCTGTGTCCACTAGTCCACTGTGTAAGAGTTAGTGGCATCTAGTGGTATACTTGCAGATCACTTCACCCTCCCCTTCCAAGCACAAGGATGAAACTACGGTGGTTGCAAAAAATATAAAAAAACTCAAATGCCCCTATTCACAGCCAATGTCTGGTTTATCCCTCCTGGGCTACTTTAAAAACATGGCGGTTCAACATGGCGGACTCTACAGAATGCGACCATGGTGTCTGTTCATATTAACGTCTCCTTCTAAGTTAACAAAATTATTATGTCCATGGACTCAACACCTTACCATTGAGTCACCTTGAACACCTTTGACAGCCTCTCAGTAATAGTGAGTTATATTTCATGCCCCAGATACAGATATTACAGATTAACAGATATTTTCTGAATCAGTCAATCTGAGACAGAAAAATAAACACAGCTGATGTAAAGTCTAAGTGTATATTTCTGTTATTTAAAATGTACAAGCTCATCATATATGTTGATATCATTTGTGACATTTCTATAGAATATAGCCAACTGATATCAATTTTCAGTCAGTGAGTTAGTCTAGTAAATGTTCAATTACTTGTGTACTTTTCATGCACATGCTCATTTCACCCTTGCTGTCAACTCAATTTGTCAGCTGTCTTTTTTTTGTTGCTCCCACACACTTAAGCCAGTCTGATTTTGCCACACCTGTTCAACAACCATCTTGTTGCTGTCAGGTTTTAAAACTGTTCCTGTCTTGGCTGTTTTTCAGCTGTCATTTCAGCGCTGTGAACCACCTCCGCCCCTCCACCTCCTGTGTTCATCAGAACCCCTCAGAAATCCTGCTCAGCTTAACTTGTTTTTCCATTTGAAGATACACCAGGGAAAAACTTTCATCTGTCGCCAAAGTCACTTTCAGGATCTTAACCACTCTTTAAAGGATTTTGGCTCACTGAAAAAAAGGCATCTAATAAACACTCTGCCTCCTCTGTAAGCGACATGATGGGTAGCAATTTCATCTGACTGTCAGCCCACCACTTTGGTCCAGACTGAAATATATCAACAACTGATACATGAATTAACATAAAATTTTGTACAGACATTCATGAATCTTGAGATCCCCTGACGTTTCACTTTATTAGTTTGACATATTGTTTTTGGTGTAACATCTCCACAACTGTTGCCATTACATTTGATACAGACATTCATCTTCCCTTCAGGATCAATTGTTATAACTTTGGTGATCTTAACTTTTCATTTAGTGCCATCATCAGGTCAACATTGCAGTTTGTGTAATACCAAATACCTGCAATGCTAAAGAAATTCCCAGCCTCTCTTGTACTTGTGTTTAGTGATGTTGATTAGTAAATTTTAGCATGCTAACATGCTAAACTAAGATGGTGATCATGGTAAACATTAAACCTGCTTTGCATTGTCACTGTGAGCATGTTAGCATGCAGATGTTAGCATTTAGCTCAAAGCACCCCTGTACCTAAGTACAGCCTCACAGGGTCTTTGCCATCTTATAGTCTCAGAGTGATAAGACTATAATATTTATGTTCAATTCGATTATGAATAACTGATAAATATATATATTGTTTTTTTCTCACATTGCATTTATTCTAGTGGTTGGTGCTGTGAGCTAGTTACAGCAAAGTTGTAAACAAAAACGTGAGGCAATGACTCAGACTTCCTTTGGGACTGTCAGCTGGGAGAGGTCATATGGCTTAGGACACCAGGGATACACACTGGCCATGTAGGACAGATGCTGCTTGCTGTGTCCCTGTGAGATCCGGGGAAAGCCTCAAATAGGAAACTGTCCAGCCCCAGGGTGGAAACACATTCTGCTGCGGGGGAGGTAATTGGCTAATGTAGCTGCAGCTCGGGGAGTTGGGATATACCAAAGTTTTCTCCAAGGGACAGACGGCAATGTTTACCGCCAGTCCGGGAATTCTTCTACTTGGAATAAAAAGTCAGCGCGGTCGATATTCGTTTAATGTTATGCAAGGTCCCTGCAGCTGCACTAATGATTTTTCTTTTGAATATTTTTGACAGGTCACTATTTTATCTGTCATGTTGTAAAATACTGTCATCGGTGATCTATAGCCCGCTGGAAGGTGCTTCGGCCCTGTTTATTTCTCCCAGGATGTAATCTCTGCTCAGACTGACCATGTCGCTTCGGGCCACCACACAGGGCAGAGCATTGGGGCCCCAAACCGACCTCTACCCAGGCCTTCAATAATAGATGCCATGCTGTTGACACATGGCAGGTGGCAACACAACACTTCACAGGTTAGATGAATATTTCATATCAAAGCTGTGCAATCACAGCACACTTTCCTGTTTGAAGTTTGGGGAATGGATCATGGTGAAATTGGGACATGTGTTGAGCTGTTTACAATTACTCCAGCCATCTGGAAATTAGAGTAACATGCTATGGTTCAAAGAAAAAGCATTAAAAAACAGACTGTTAAAATCTGTCACCAGTTTTGATGTTGCTGGTGTAGTCAATTTGAAAAATAAAACAGAGGAGATTAATAATGTATTAGTAAATATTAGATTTTAAACCATTTTGCTTGACAAGTATTTTCCTTTTATTGTATCCCTGGTTGAGTATTTTGGGTATACTGTATTGCCCTTGGACGGCACCAGCTATGATGTATTATCTGTCTTTGGACAAGCCTCCCATAGCGGTAAGTGATTGGGAAAAGCATCAAGCTTCATTAGTCAGTTGGTTTGAGTTTTGTTTGTTTTGGCTCCTTGAATGGCTGACAGCCCGGACTGCAGCATCATGTCTTTTGCTTTGGATGGCACAGCAACACTGAAACGCAGCGTGCGTCTGAATCCTCTTCTCTATGCTTGCACACACCAGCCTCCCTGGTGCTGTGGACTCTGAATAGAATTGTATGGAAGTGTTTTTTTTCTTTCCAGCCCCTTTGCTTCTGACAGATGACTGGCAGACAAAGATTATAAAAAATAACAAAAGGCCAGGAGGGCTGGGACCCGCAGAGCTAGCTCCTCTGCTGTCTGTGGTGCTCAGACCCTGGCCCTCGGCCAGCTGATTTTCATTGGGAAAGCCCGGAGCACTGAGGGGCTGGAAGGGCTATATATAACTGGCTGTGTTTTTCTTAGTGACAAACCCTCTCTCACATTGTTATTGACTAAGACGCTCAATTACTGCCTTCGCTCGCTCTGGTAGACAACATTTTTTCTGCCCTTTTCGCTGTGTAGTTTCCTTTCCCTTCTTCTCAGGAACGATGGATGATTAGAGCATCCATGACAAATGTTAAAGGAATCAGTTTTTCCTTGGACTGCTCTCTTATTGGCCAGTGACTGATGAATGTCTAATGAGGGCAGTCTGGCTGGACATGTTTATTTTTCCCTCCTCATTCAGAGTGGAGGGCAGCTTGTCGTGGCACAAAGTCTGCAGTCTAGAGCCCACAGAGCTTCAGGACACGACCCGCTTGCATGTATAAAAGATGTGGCCTGCGACTGAATGACTGCGCAAATTAATTCATAAATAATGACTTGGCTTTGGGGCTAGAGCCCGTATTGCAACAACACTTTCCTACCACTGCTGCATTAAAAAAGGTGCCCCTTGGCTACACAGGGGGCTGGAGAATTGCCATAATGAATTCCTGAGCCAACCGCCCATTACTTCCGCTGCCTGACTTTGCCTATTTGTTGTTTAAAGAAAGGAGAAATAGAGTTCTGCTGAGGAAAGCCATATCTGGCATGCAGGCTTAATACAGTTCCATAAATATAATAAGGTATGATACTAAATCAATTTAAATACACATAAATTATAATAATAGCTGTAGCTCCCTAATTCAGCACGCACATCTGTGGCTGTTCTCACACGAGTCAATGTTTATGCCATATTTTATAGAGTTTGTAAATATGCCAAGATGATGTGTCTATGTAAAGATGTTGTGTGGATGGGTGGGTGTAGTATCCTCTGCATGCCTCTCTCTGTGCATGTGCAGCGCTTCGCACGATGCGGATGTGTGTGCTTGTTAAATGTCTGCAAACATTAACGTGGATGTCAGAGTGCATGTGTGATACCATGCTGCCTGAATGTCACACAGAGAATTGGGTCTGGGTTGTGCTGCAGGCTAAAACTTCACGCAGCCTTTTCTCTAATAAGCCAAATGGGGGAAAACAGTTCCCGCTGCAACAGCAGCATCTTGGGATTCCTCTGCTCGCCTATTGCTTTTACTTTCATGAACCCAGCTGCCATTCTAAGCAGCTTTAGACACTTATGTAAATTAAAATCGACGCAGTACTGTAAAGTTGGGTCATCATGCACCTTAATTAATTAATTTAGAATATGGGATGTTTCTGGGTGACTCAGTGCAGTGGATCTTCCTCGTTGACATTTACAACCCATTCCATTACCTAACCTCTGACCTCAGTGTGACCCTGCAGGGTGATGACGACAGGGTCATCGTAGTCTCCTGCATGACTCACATGATGGCAGGGCAGACAATTCCCGTGGGTCAAATTACATATGATGTGCTGACTAGACTGGCTCTGACAGTTCCTATTTCAATTTGACATCATTTTAAAATATTTCAGAGATACACAAGAGTGAGATATATGACTAAAATACGAAGAGAAGAGAGAAAAGTGACAGTCAAACCTCTTGATGGCCTTGTAGCAGATGATGATGGCTGAGAGGAGGAAGACAACCGAGGCACAGCCCACCGTTCCAAGCACTATAATGTCCATCTCCATCCACCATGGCCTCACCAAGGGCACTATGGGCTTTACCACTTAGAAAAAAGAGAAGAGGGGACAGGAGGAGAGAAATTTGGATGCAGAAGAAGAGAATAAATAAAATGCATTTCACAAAATAAATCACAAAAATCGGTTCAAAATAAAAAAAAAGATTTACTATGCTGATCACTGACCCGAGTCTTGCATTATACAACATAAAACCAGAGCAACATGGAGCTGATTTTCCTCCCTGCTCTCTGAGTTGGGAAGACGACGTGTCCTCGCCTGTTCTGTAGGTCTTAGGTTCAACGTTCAAGGATATCCAACCCGACACCATGAATCATTTAAGGTCCCGTCAGCCTTCCTTACACCAGCACTCTTGTCCACACCAATTACTGTTGCAGGAACCTCCTGCTCTTTCCACATTAGACCCGTGGAGTAAGACCACTCACCAGGAATGTTGAATAACATTATGTGCATCAGCAACTTCGTGTCTGTAATGCAGAACTTTCCTTATCTCTTTCTGCAGCATTTGATGCTCTCCCACCATCTCTAAATCAGTTTAGTCATGTGCATACCCATCTATCTATCGATATGAATGATGGTTTGTTCCAGTTTTATGCATAGAAAATACACTGCATCGTATATACAATAACAAACTCGTAGCTCTTGCATTAACAGTTATTTTTGTATGAATGAGAGGAAGGGTTTACACCATAGCAACAAATACTCCTTACTAATGCTGTAGACTATTTTCCAACACAGCACTTTTCTATGGAGCAAATAACAAGGCATGGCTCTCCCCGGTACAGCGCACGTCATAAGTCACTATGAATTTAAAAGCTCCTCTCAGCCAAATTTCCATTTTAATCCTGCATTTGTCAACGGCTGTAGGATTTAATTCAGTCAGTGGTAAGGATCTACTTCATTGTGATAAAGCACACTCCTTTGAAGGACTTCGGAAACCATTTTTAGCACACACAGACTTACTTAACATTGCCAATTTTTCTTTCCTTTTTTTAGACATTTAGAAGATAAGATCTCAGTCATTGTCCCAGTTTTTCACGTTAGCTAAGCATATTCATTGCAGACTACAGTTTAAAGCAAAATTGCATCGCTAACTATTCTGTAAATTGGACTACTGAAGGAATATCAAGATAATTATGCGCCTGTATAGATTAAATTGGGGACGAAAAAAACTTGAAGTGAATTATTCATGGTGCCTCCACCCTCTGCAAACATTTCTGTGTAAAGCTGAAGGAATACAAATTGGCCTGCTTGTCATATTTATGGTGACATACTGCTGTTTATGGAAGCATCGAACACTGTGGATACAGCGTTCACTCATGCGTTGGCCGTAATTGGGCATTCAACCCCCACCTTAGCTTACAGTCAGATGGTCCTGGCAGCATTTATGCAGTGACCAACATTAACAGAAGGGTCTATAACTCGTTTCATACATAGCCCACATGGCGAGTCAAAGCAAGGGGGGTCCACTTAAATTGACCAAAGAAAAATCACTGGAACTGATTGATTAAAACCTTTACACTCCTGTCTGTTGGGACTTTAATGATTAAGTACTCCTCCCCACTCATAATATTAAGGACTCAGGGTGAGTGATTCTAAAGAGCCACAGTAATAGCTCAGAATGGCTGCATCATCAGCAACGCCTGTCCCATATTTCAGTGGACTGTTCATTAAGGTGCTTTGGACTACATACAAATCATATCAACTTTCAGCGAGCAGGCCAGTGAAATATGTTTGCCTATCTGTCAGTGGATTTACCATCTCAGAGTGGGATGAGAGAGGGAGTGTTGTAGGGGAAAACTGCCGCAACAGGCAGTGGATGAGGTATGTGTGCTTGTTGTATAAAGCACACATAGCAAACACACACGGACTTATTGCCGGCAGCTCAACTTCAAAACGAAGCTGGAACTACTGGGCTGGTTCATTAGCCCCTTATCTCTATCAAATTAAAGCTAATTTAATTAACTCATCTGTGTTTTAATCAGGGGTCCTCCGGGGGAAACCCTACCACTGAACCACTGAGCTTGGCAGCCCAGCAGGCATGGATTTCACAGGCAGCTGGGTACTCCCCAAGGTCAGACCCGGCATAAATTAGTCCTGTGTTCAGCTGTCAACATCCTGCTGGCTCTATCACACGCACAGAGGTGCACGTGCAAAACGGCGCCCATGCACAAACACTCACACAATAATCTCAGGGGGGCTGATGGCACATTTTTCTTTTGAGCATAAAAGGAAACACTTGACGTTCAAAACAATTTCCTCTGACTAGCCAGTTGCTTGACACCTGCGTCTGGCTAGGAATGAAGATCCAACTGTGGGGCGAGAGCAGACTGAGAGTGAGACAGACAGACTTGGAGCGAGACAGGTGTGAAACCTGGGAGTGTGAGCTGGGAGTCTTACCTGTGGTGCCCAGTAGCCGTGGGGGAGGTGGTGGAGGCGGCGGAGGAGGAAGAGGAGGGTATCTTCGACAGTGGCATGCCAGCTGGCATTGTTCACTAACTTTCTCCGCCACAGTCTGTGAGCATGACCTCTGGAGTTCTCCCTTATGGTGAGGGAGAGATAAAAAGAGAGACATTGAAATGACTGAGGCACCCATCCTTTAGTGCATTACTCAGAAGTGCCATCAGCACAACACTGTGCAGCACAAATGGAGATGCTTGAACACTCAGCAGCCTCTTAGTTTGCAGCACTGTGGATACCCTCTCAGCATTCTTTTCGTATCACAGCTCCAGTGTTGTTTGTTGTCAAAGGGACTGCTGTGTATGTAGTACATGCAGAATAGTATCACGTCTATGGCTGCAGCCCGCTCCCTGTAAGAAACCACCCACCAACAGAGTGGGCAGCAGGCTGCCCCGAGGAGTGTGCGTGGGTGGACTTGGAAACTCAAGCAGATCACATTACACATGAACCCTGGCAACACTGTGTGCGTGTGAACAACAGCTCACCACTATCTGTAGGCAGCAGCACAGGGCAGAGGTTAGAATACTCATCACTAACATATGCCTGCTGCGGGGTTCCTGGTGGGATAACTGAATATCGTTATCATAAAAAAAACAGTTGGCTACTCCATGTTCCCACTACAGAGCTGAGTGTGTGTGTGTGTGTGTGTGTGTGTGTGTGTATAGTGTATTCAACAATATGAATGTAAATGGGCTTCGTGCTGTTTTAAAAATGTCACAAAGAAACTCACTCAGCACATCTTGTATCGTGAAGGTCATAGACATAAACCATTCATCACTTTAGCTAAATGCAGTCGTCTCTAACAGTAGATAGATAATAAACATTCTGTGTTATTTATTTATTTTATTTAATCCAGAGGGCTGTACTACAAAGCGAGGTAACTAACTTATCCAGGTAACTTCAGGAGTAATTCTGACGGCAGCTGTAACTTCCAGGTTAACTCGTGCTACAAAAGGTGGATGCGTTTTACCCGAGGTATGTTTATGCTCTATGTCTAAACTGCTCCGAGCAGGTTATTTTCGTGGTTAACTCGATGTTTCCATATAAATCAACTTTTCTCGGCCCACAAGCTTGGGGAGAAAAATGCCGACACATTTGGAGGACGTTGGGCACGGAGTGTGAGAGGCTCAGTGCGGAGGGCGAGGGTGTTCAGAGACTGACACAGGTAGCCCTTCAGCCTCGGGGCTTTAGGGAGTAGATTTTAATTCAGGGCCTAAAATTGTCAGCCATGGTGGCTGTGAATATATCCTGATATTATCATAGGACATTTGTCTGGGGACAAATGCGGAGCACGAGCGGTAATGAAAACACACTAATCATCGCAGTAGTACCATGTAACAGCAGTGTAGGCAATCGGTTTGTCAACTTTTGATTTGACGAGTTAAATCCTCGTAGGTTCAGATCTCTTCGTAGTCCAGCCCTCTGGTGTATGATTTATATATGTTGTTACAGATTACGTGTTAGTTACGTCAACTGAGAAACATTTGGGTAAAACATCCATCTGGGAATGTTTGTGTTATCTGTTGTGGACAAAGAATCTGGATGGGTCCATTATAAACGGGCAGGTTGGTGTTTCGCCAAACCGTTCCTCCATCAGTCTTGTTGCACTACTCTCTATCCTTTCTCTCACTGTTCCTTGCTGGATTTTCTGTTTCTGTGCAGGGGAGTGATGGCGGCGACAGATTGCTACATTGTGCACGAGATCTACAATGGGGAGAATGCGCAGGACCAGTTTGAGTACGAGCTGGAGCAGGCACTGGAGGCCCAGTATAAATACATTGTTATTGAGCCCACACGCATCGGAGATGAGACGGCCCGATGGATTACCGTGGGCAACTGCCTGCACAAGACGGCCGTGTTGTCAGGCGCCGCTTGCCTCCTGACGCCACTTTCACTGCCTCCTGAATACTCGCGCTACGTGGCGTTGCCCGCTGGCGCCCTCAGCGTGGCCTGTGCCGCCCTCTACGGGATTTCATGGCAATTTGACCCCTGCTGCAAGTACCAGGTGGAATATGACAGCCAAAAACTCTCACGGCTGCCCCTGCATACACTCACCTCCTCGACGCCCGTGGTATTGGTACGCAGGGATGACGTCCACAGAAAGAGACTCCATAATACGATAGCACTGGCTGCCCTGGCGTATTGCGCCAAGAAGATCTACGAACTCTATGTGGTATGAGTGCACTCTGAAGAGGGTTTAAGAGCCAACAGGAAAAAGGAAAAAGAAAAAAAAAAAACAGAACCTATCTACCCCCAAATGTAAGAAAAGTGGAAGTCACGATCAGGCCCAGCAGTTAGCTTCACACACGTGGTGGGTGCTTCCATTGTGAACTTTGATCAGAGGGATATAGTTAAAACTAGAAGGAATTGTTTTTCCCCCTTACATTTCCTTTACTTCAATGTGACAACAACAGCACACTTATCTCCGTAGTCCCCTCTCGCCTCCTCCCCTGCGCCCTCCACCTGCATTCTTGACACACAACAAGCTAGCGCACAAGGGTACGGCAGCAGTTCCTCCGGACTGAATTGTATTGCAGTCGAAACGGACAGACGTGTTTTGAGTACCAAGCTCTTCCCCCATTCCCTTCGTAGTTTTACTGTACCCCTTTCTTGCTGATCAGTACATCACCCTTTCATTAAACATTAGGATATTTCAAACTCACTTTTCTGTATTTTATTTTACTTTTTTTCATTAAATGGATTCTACATGATGTCCAGAAAAGAGCAAATAGCTGCAACTTATTTGAGATCGTCTTGTTCATGTAGATATTCTTGTTAAAAGAGTGCAGGTCAGATGTCATGTGACAATGCTGTGGCTCAGTGTCCTCTTTTGAAACACTACGAAAATACTAACTTTTGGAAAGTCATAGTTCACACATGCTCCTAATAATGTATATTACATTGAAATCAAGCCAAACCCTCATAATTGGAACTTGAATATAGATATAATTACATTTTACACATACATATATACATATATATATATATATATATACACAGGAAATTCTAAATTCATACTTTCTTATATATGTTTATGCAATAGTGCTGTATATATCAGCACTTTTAAAATCTGGTGTCCCAGGAGGAGCTAATACTAATTGTGAGATGAGCAACGATAAGTTGAGTTAAGGAATGAGTTGTGATTACAAAGAGACTTTTGAGTAATAAGGTGGAATACAGATGTGAATTTGTTGAATTAAGAGTCACAGTAATCACATTATGGTCAATGATTTAAAAGTAAATCTTATTTAAATTACTTTCCACGATCACTTTTATTTCTTTGACAGCAGGAGAATTAGGATATAAAAACCTTTTATGGTACATATGTTCAAAAGAGTTTCCTGAAGAGAATTTCATGTACACCCCTGAAAATCTCCATTAAACAATGTATCAGAAATGAATTCCATCTGTTAACTTGATTCAAATGCACATTGAAAATGTTGGCGGTGAAGTATTGTCAGCACACATTATGCAAACAGTTTGTCAGTTTCTGACATGAGAAGGAAATCGTGTTTTAGACTGAACAAGAGTTCAGAGTCAATGAAAATGTGCAACTGTTCATATTGATAAATGTCATCTTATTGTCCTGAAATATAAAACAAAGTGCTTTTGTTTTTACCTCAGTAAATGGTGCTTACATTGATAATGTGCATAGTTTCTTAATTGTGTACAGTGTATGAAAGCAGCACCTCAGATAACTGAGCATTTACGCACCAATGTGCTGTTTCCTCTCACCATACATATACTAGTATGGGATGAGCAGAGACTGCAACACTGAAGCAGAAGGATGAGAGCACAGAGGGACGGCCTGAGACAACCTCATCAGTTTGCTGATTTGTGGCCAGAGCAGGCTAATTATCTGTCAGCTGACCGGCCGCTGACACTAGTGCTGATCCACAGGAGTCGCGCTGATTGATGGACTCGCTGTTTACCATGAATTTTAGGGTGGCCATACTGCTTCTGGTAGCATAGGGGTGCCCCAGTCATCATAAAGAAGATATTATTGATTAGGCTGGCCTAATGACAGGTCAGTATTACTATGAACAGTCATAGTAGAAGCTGGCCTCTTCTCCAGTTGTCACCCAGAGTATATTGTCCCATTACCTTTTAGGATGACTGGAAAAATCTTAAGTTCTCTTGATTTTCTGCACACATTGAATGAATGAAGGAGTGAAACCTTTATTGCCTCCTGGTAAATTTGTTTTGCAAAAAGAGCAAAGAAGAATATCAAAAAGTGTCAGCAACCGTATGCGACAGCCTATAATATAACATAAAACGCTTTTTAAGATAAGATATTCCTTTAATAGTCCCACAATGGGGAACTTTTTGGGAAATCAAGTACAAAGGATGGATAAAAGAATGTGATGCATCTTTTAGTCCATATCTTCTTCATCTTTATCTTCACCCTGAAGATCAAAGTGCATATTCAGACCGTAGAGGGGACAGTGGATTTGTTATAACTAAATAATGGTGTACTGGTCTGTCATGTAAGTAACACTGCACATTGGTTTCCCAGTTATCAGGCAGTTGTACAACCCTGTCAGTTTGTTCTTCATATGTTATATATTTCAGGGGGCTTTTTGCCTTTAATGGATTAATGGACAGCTGAAGAGAGGAAGAGGGGATGACACGCACAGAGAGCCACAGGTCAGATTCGAACCCATGCAGCAAGGACTTGACCTTGGTATGTGGGTCACCAGCTCTACCAAGTGAGCTTTCAGGACGCCCTGTTCTTGTTTTGACAATGTTCCCCGGGGAAAAATATGGAAATTAATAAGGTTTTTTCATTTTCATTCATCATAGGCCTAAAATGATTCTTTCATTCAATTGTAAAATGTGGAGCCATTAATCACCAAATTAATAAAATTGTTTAAACATTTTGTCACCACAAACCACAATAGCTTGAGTCTTCCTATCTAGGCTAATCCAAAATAAGGAAAGAAAAGAGGAAAATAAATGAATAGTAAAAAATGAATTCATTCAAATGAATAGTGTGTGGACAGATTTGTTTGCTTTCACCACCATGCTGCTGACTACTGGTATGCTTGAGCTCAGTTTCATATTTCTGTAGCTTCTGTTTGC